CCCAAACTCAAGATAAGCCAAGTGTGAAAGGGAAGTTTAATGCCCTTTTCCTTATGTGGATACATAACTCATTCTAAAGTTTGTAAATTTTGTAATCATTTCTCTTATTTTTTCAGTGTAAATATTGAACGGATGGGTCTTGGCAGGAAGAGGGAACCAGGGTGGCAGATTTTTCTGGCTGCCAGTATCAGGTCTCTTAATGAGGGAAAATGGATTTGGGAGAAAGCATATCAATACACAAATGCTGAGTCTAATATAGAAACTGGAGCAAGTTGCCAGAGCCCCCTGGGTTGCATACTCTTGGAACAGAGCCACCAAGCCCTGAGGGGCCTCCTAAAGGAAGAGGCAGAAATAGAAGCAGACAGGCTTGCTGTCGGAAGGCACGGAGTTCTCTGGGGAATGCTGGAAGCAGTGGGCGACCTATTTTTTCTATTCTGTTTCAGGTCCTCTGATACGGGTCCTGGACTTCTTGTCCTAAATCCACTTGCCCTTTGATTGTAAGTGGGCAAGGATGGGGAGTGGTGGTGAATGTGTGTGTGTGTGTGTGTGTGTGTGTGTGTGTGTGTATTTGTAGGAGAGAGAGAGATTTGTGTTCTATACTTTCCTAATGACTTATGTTTCACCTTCTTCATTTTGCTTTTAGGATACTATGTGTTTGTAGGAAGCCCATAACTACTCAAGGACCCTCTCCATCAACTCCCCTATGGAAATATGACTAGCAGGGAAAAAAAAAGGACTTCAAAAGTAGAAGTACCACCTACAAATACAGTATCCTTAAGGTAAAATGAAGACTGTGAAACATAATAGCCATTAGGGAAGAATAGAACACAAATCACTCTCTCTCTCTTTTTCTCTTTCTCTCTCTCTCTCTCCCTCTCTCTCTCTCACACACACACACTCACACATATTTACAGCCCCCCACCCCTTACAATCAAATGGCAAGTGCATTTAGGACAAGAACTTCAGGACCCTTATCAGAAGACCCGAGATAGAATGGAAAAAATTATTATAACATGTAATTGTATAACTTATATAAATATATATATTGTGTGTATTATATATACATATAGTGTATATATAGTAGTTGGTGTTGTTGAAGTTAGGGTCTATTTACATGTGTTGTATCATTGTGGAATAAAAAATGGTGACTGCCTAGTGCCTTGAACTTGAACACCGCGTGTCCTGCCTATTTTTCTGCCTTTGGCTCCTCCATGATGAGCCCCACTGGTAGCCATATTATGCTCTCAATCAAGGTGGATTCACCAACTGTTCTTTGCACATTATCACATACCTGTGGGCACACACATACACCTACCCACTCACATTTTCACCTGCTCATTCATGCCAGAAATTCCTTTAATAAGACACAAAACCTGAGGGGGCTGTGCATTGGCTTCTATCCACCTTGTATGAATCTGTGAAATAAGAAGCTTTGCTGAGAGCGGTTTCAAAAGGGGAGATGGCACTGGGCATAAGAGGAGTAATAATGCCTTCCGTCTGAACAGCATTTTATAATGTACAGAATAAGTCCCCATTTCTCACTCATCCTCACCAACCAAGATTAGGTCTTTTTGGAGGCCCCTCCATCTTCCACTGAATTCACAGAAACCCTCCAGGAATTACTGTGCTTCCTGGACGGTCCTCAGTCTTGGAACGGACTTTCATGGTTTTTATTCCACAAAGCTGCTGTAAACATCAGCCCTTGCCCATCTGTTGGGTCTTTCTTCTTTGTAATCCGGGCTACTGAGAAGCCTTCGCGGTGATCCTCTCCACTAAAACCATCGTGAAAGCTCTGCCTTCCCAAGACTTAGAACACAGACTCAGAGCAGGCAGTCCTTTTGGGAAGAAGCAGACAGATTACCTTCTCAGTATTTTCTTCAGATCTTTTAGAGAAACCAGTACAAGATAGAAATGATCTCAATAGTTTTTCCTACCACAACCCTGAAGAGGTACACAGAGTCTTTTATGTGAGTCTTTTTATGTGAAATTCCCCCAAGTTAAATTGTAACATCGGAGGATAGTGACTAAAGGCTGTGGCTCTACAAGCCTTGGCCTACACGAAGCAAACATGTCTAAGTCGCCTGCATTACTAGACAACAATTCTGCACACCGTGTTGCTGGTCTTGACACACACACACCAAGAGAACATACCAGGTTTCTAAAGATTGAGACCTGACTTTCCAAATATCCTTTGGATATCATCATATGGAAGAAGTGAGGGACATCATAGTCATCTCAAATTGAACTTATTTTCTGTCCAGACTTGCTCCTCTGTGCTGCTTTATCCTGGTCAGTGGCATCACTATCCACCCCAGCAATCAATATAGAAACTAAGAATCACCTCTGACATTTTCCTTTTCTTCCAAATCTTCCTTGAAAACTCAACTTGAATTTCATCCTCTCCATGAAGTTTTCCACTTGTGCACCAAGACTTTTTTATACCTCTGTTGCAAATTTGCTAGCAAGTCTGCTATGTAGATCTCAATTTCTCCCTCCCTCATCACAGTCTTCCCTCCACTTGAGCGCCTTTGGTGCAAGTCTTAATGCCTTCTTCACCTCTGTATTCTTCTGCCTTCAAGTACCTAATGCGTTATCTTATGGACTCACCGAATGCCTGGGGAAATTGAACAACTTAGACCTGTCGCATCCTCATCTCCACTTCCCCTATGATCCTACGATGTTGGTGCTATTTCTTGATCAAGGGATCATGAGGTTTTCTGACGTTCTGGCAGCAGGTATTAAGATAAATAAAATAATTGAAACTGTCTTCATTGTTATCTTGGCAACATTCTCAAATTGTCTTCTTTGATAATTCAAGCTTTCAAAATGGAACTGTTTCCCATAGAGTTTAGGTTGCAGCGTCCCCCATGACGTCCCATGCTCCATGTTCACTCTGCTCCCTATTACCTATGTCTTGCGCTTCCTTCCCAATGGCCACGAAGCTTGCAGCCAAGGGAGGAGAGAGGCAGGAAGGGCATGACTTGTTAGTTGCAGCAATTGAACATTAAGTCCCTGAAATGTCTTGCAGGGCGTCCTAGTGTTGCTTTTCAGGAGACAGTTTCCACAACGTGCCACCTCCCTGAATAATCTATTTGCCCTCTTGTAGACACAAGGTTTAAAGAATCACACTGTAGCTTCTTAAAGGTATTTAAACAAGGATGGCTTTTTGGATCCTCAAGATCCTGTTAAATGTACCACTTTTGATCTCAGCTCAGCTGGGAAATCTTTTCTTTTGTACAAACTTGGGAAAAATCAATATAAATGGCTGAGAGATACTGAAATTAATCCCCACTCACCCCTGCTGTTTCCTTATATGTCATCTGATTGCTCCTGAAATACAAATGGTCTTTGGTTTGATGGAATATTTTATAATACTAGCTACAATGGGAATAATTATTTTTCTCTTGGACAAAAAGTAAATGGTAATTCCTGAGTTATTCAAATAATGAAGATGAAAACTTAGTTTCTGGAAGACCTAAGGGTTGCGTGGTTTTGGTAAAAGGGTCCCCTGGTGGGTATCTGTGGCGACATCTTTCCATCCTCCCTGGAATATGAGGGATGTGGGTGAGAGAGTCATAGGCTCCTCACAAAGTAATGAGACTCTCTCTACACTGACCTCTAATACACTCATTGAAAATATCCCCTTTCACAGCATGTTTACACAGTGACTATTTGGCTTTTAGGCAAATACAGTATTTAATAGGCCCAGAGTGATCTGCTTACATAGGAGCCTGTAGCAATCAGAGGGAGACTATGCCAGAATGTTAAGAAATTAATTAATACGAGGCTTAGACAAGCAATGATCCTTGAAGAGAACAACAGTTTGTGGAAGACAAGACAAACGCCACCTGCCACTGTGACTCCAGAGGAAGATCCAGGGTATGGTTGTCTCTGGAGCCAAAGCAGTTTTCCAGTACCTTGAACAGCCAGCTGAGGTGGAATGCTGGGAGATGAGTCAACTATTTGGTTGTTCCCTGGGTGGTCATCTCCCACATCACTGGAGATGATATTGTGCAAGTTAGAACAGCTGGTGTCTTCATGCCACCAAGCGTACTCCCAGTTTCTGTGGCACCCTATAGATCTATGTGGAACCTCAGACAAACTGGGAGAGTCACATTTGTCATTTATTGTGTACTTACTCTGTGCCAGGCCAGCACCTGTGTGCTTTACATACATTATGTCATTTAATCCCAATGGGAAGGATGTGTACTTTTAATCTTCATTTATAGATAAGAAAATGGTAGCCCACAGAGGATACATGAATTGTCCAAGGTCTTGCAGCTTTTAAATGGTGGAAGTAGGACTCAAACACTAATTCTTTCTAGCCCAAAGCCACTGAATTAGGACACTCACTATATTGTGATCAGAGCAAGGTTGGAGAGTTGCTGGATAAGCAACTTCATACAAGCAAGTCATTGTGGCGGCACAAACTTGGCAATGAGATCAAAGAGTGTCAGCTTTGGTGATCCCCAGGGACTGCAGCCTTTACAAGGCAACATGGATTTCCCTGACCCCTGCTACTACTATAATATCAAGAACGCCATATTCTTGAGGGAGCATTGTTAGATTTGAGATGTTTCCTTCTAAACCTATTTTCGTACAACACACCTCTTGCATGAAACAGTGACAATTTAGAATGTACCATGTCACTGCATTTTAAGGCTGGAACTAATTGTGAGGGGCAAAAAAGTTAACATAAATATTCCCAGGTGTGACACTCTTCTGTTAATTGGTTCATATCTTAGACTTTGTTTTGCCGATGGGGATAATGGGTGTTGGGAAGAGAAACTAGACTGGTTTTCCAAATAAAGCTTGAAAAGAGACTTTGGAGAGGGACAAAGAGGGGCAATTTCTAGCTTGGTGGGAACAGAGAGAGCAGATTTGGAGCAGCTGTGATGATGAGAAGATTGTGGGGCCGTAGAGAGAAAAAGAGAATCCTTGAGACATAAGCTGTGTCATAATCATCTAAGTTTTTCAGAATTGATTTTTGTTTCTTTCAGATGTGGCACTCCTAGGATTTGCCCATGAGGCATCCAGGATTACTTGGATTATTAAAAAATGCTGCCCTCACATGTGTACAGCACTTTACAGTTTGGTAAGCATTACCTCCCTTGATTCTTACAATAACACTATGATGTATGAAGAAGAAATTTAAGCAAGCTAACTCCATAGATTTCATGGAGGTTTTGAGACTTTTCTGCAATACACAACTTTTAAGAAGCCAGACCAGCACAAAAGCCCAGATTCTCTGATACCTCTGTCGATAGGCTCCTCTGAAGGCTATCCTTAAGAATACAAGAGCAAAAGATAGGCCATATTGGGCCGATCTAACAGTTCCCTCCATCAAATGCTTCATTTGAACAGGCTGGGGCCAGGGATGTTTGGTAAAGGAGTGTGGCAGCTCCCTCTGCAACATCAAAAGTCACGAACACCTCCAAACACCTCCAACCTCTCTTCAACAACCGGTAAGAGATTGGACATCCCAATTTTTCCAAACCCTTCTTGAAGCTATTTGCATTTCTTGTCTTGTTCAACTCTTTGGGAATAATAAGTTCCACGTGTTTACCACCTGCTGCGTGAAGAAGTACTTCCTTTGGTTATTATTTTAAATGACTGCTTTCCAGGCTTAAGCGCCCCCGTACCCAAATCTGCTTCCCAATTTGTTATAGTCCCCAGGATACAATGTCTGTCTGGCTGAGAGCCCCTGGTATGCACACTTCCGCTGCTGTTGAGGTGCGCTTGGTGCTTATGGCTACAGAATCACAGCATGCGGAAGCAGGTACCCTTGGGACTGCTTTTGGGACACGAATGCTACCTATGTACTGGAATGAAAATTGAATGTGGCTTTCCTCCTCAGTGCCCTGACAACTTGAAAAAGTGAAGCAATCGCCATTATGAAACTTTTGCCTTTTCTGTGACTATGTCCTTCCAAAAACCTTCACTGTTCTAAGGAATTCCATGCTAGTCCAAATGAAATAACGACAAAATCATACTTGCGTGAATATGCTATTCTGGTTTGAATCCTTTCTGGTGACTGACCTTGCTAACGCAAACACGTTCATATGGTTAAGATTAATGAGTCAATTATTTTTATACAAGCTATCCCTCATGTAGGCTGTTTTCCTTGACTTGACTATGTTAATTAATAAAAAGCATTCAATCCTCCTTCTGTTGCAGTTTGTGGTTAATCAGGTGCAATTATCAATGAGGTTATGGTGAATGTCTATGTGCTCAGGCACCTCTAATGAAAACGGGATATATTTGGCTATGAAGAGAAGTACTTAAAGTTCCTCTTCAGTGAGTGCTTCCAGAAGGAAATAAGGCTATGGATCTTCGAAGACACAGGCTGCCATTATAAATATAGTTGTGTTTTTAATTAATTAAATAAATACTGAAACAAATGTGATTGAATATGAGATAATCCATTCATGTGGATATTATTTCATATCATGCCTTAAATTAATGCTTCCTGGAGCTTGGCTTGGTTCTTGCTAGTTGAAGAGTGGAGTGTGCAATTGTATCCTCAATAAAAACACAAAGGCTTGAATGCTCTCAGTCTATCTGCACCAGGTGTGAAATGACAACAGTACTTTAGGGAAGTCCAAAATAAAAAAATCTCAAAGTTACAGAGAATTTTAAGTAGCCATTGTTTATATCATCAGTGGTTTCCTTGCTTTATGTAAGGGGTAAATTTACATAAAGCAGTTTGCTTAGTGATGGGCATACAGTCAGCAGTTAGAATCTGAATCATCTTTATTATTATTATTATTATCAATGTTCCTTTAAATATGATCAGCACTTTTAATATCTGATTTGATTTTTATACCATTTGTCAGGGATACAGCTCTTATATGAAATGAAACATGCTTGAGGATAGTTTTGTTTGTAGGATGAGATGGTTAAAACAAGAGTTTCAAGACTCCTGTGTCCACAGTTGGTAGACAAGCCTTTAAAAAAAGAGAGTAAGTTGAATTGATGACTTCCTGGACTTGTGTGTTTTAGGATGGACAGGCGAATTTAGTGAATGGTCAGTTTGCCTTAGTTTAGGTTAAAATACTATGGATTTCAAAATGTCACAAGCTTTTGAGACCCCAAGAATATTTGCAAATACTGACATGTCATTTTCATGGGAGCTATTTCTACAAGGCTATTTCTACATATATACAAAGTAAGTGGCTGCCATCAAATTTTACTCCTGCTTGCTAGCATTGAAATTATCTTAATTAAGGACAAAGATTTATCACCCAGGGAGAGCTAAGGCATGGCACACTTGTGGAAACAAGAGATTTAATTCATTCTGAGGTGTAAATGACTGCTACTAGAACCTTTTCTGTTTGCACTTCATGATGGGAAAGGGGAAGAGAGAGAAAGGACACTGAGAAACTAAACAGGAGTTTGGGAAGCTGAGGACAAACCTCATGAACCTCATAAGACCAGTTCATTATAACTACAAGACAGCAGGAGTGCTAAAGAGGATGGAAAGCTTCCTGTGATGTCACTCACTCAAAAGGCGTGAACTGAGGACCTGCTCTGGGCCAGAGAGTGTGCAAGTGCTGGAGCCATACCAGTACAGTATTGGTAATGTTCTTGCCATCAAGGAGATTACAGTTTATTGGAGGCAAGTGGGACAGATATATAACAAGTGCATTAGGTAGAGTAGCACCAAGTATAGTGCAGCACAACTAAAAGAATGGTTGATTTTCTGGGGAGGCCGCAGTGGTGTGTTGCAGCCATCTTGTATTAGCTCATGACAGCTGGCTGTGCATATTTCTTCCCAATTATGTGTTCAGTGAGGTCACGTTGGTAGCTTAAAATCAGCCATGGTGGGAGTATTTGCACTACATAAATTGGCAAACACTATAAATTAGGATCCTCCCTTCTACCCCACGCCCCCAGCAGAGAGCCCTTGTTACACATTTACTAGCATGCTGCTGCCTGGGGGTGGGGATGGGGTATATAAGGAGAGATACTATAGAGGAGGGGATGATTGGACTGAATCTTGTAATTAGAAAAATAGCTGTTATTGGCTTTTTAGGAGAGGGATTTGAGTGGGTTTATTTTGGGGGGGAGGACTTTTTTCCAAGGAGATGTGGAAAAGTGGGACTTGTATTAGATATATTTCTGGTGATTGTAAACTCTAGCCAATGTTTTAATTGTTAACTGCACCCTGAGGCCAGATCCGGGGTTTTATTTATCTTTGTATACATAGACAACCTTGCACATGATGAACAGAAACAAACGTGTCTTGTATAAATGAACACATGATATTCCTCAGTCCACCTCAATCACCCTACCTGGATGAGGCAAACCATTTTCACTAACTGTATTCAAGCACTATGCTTGGCATTCTATATCATTCTATATATACATTTTACAGAAGAAAATACTAAGACCTCGAGAAGTTAAGAAATTTGCTCAGGGTCATGGAACTCATAGCAGTTGAAGCAGTATTCAAACCTAAGTCTATTTGTTTCCAAACCCCACATTTTTTCAATTGTCCCATATTTCCTTTCAAGTCAGGGTCATTTGCCACATGTGGATGATGAGGAGAGACAGTTAGTACTCCAGGAGTGAGAGAAGATCAGGGACCGTGGACATGAAGTAGATGGTCTTTAGCTTGAAAATTACCTGTTTAGATGGTAGTGCATCCTCTCTATTTGACTCCTTTGGTGTCATTTATGTTGGCACCTTGGCTGATCTATGATAACCTTTTCCATGGACTCCTAATCTGAAATGCAGCTTGACACACTTATAGAGTACAGCAGAAGGCTGAAGAATGAGGTTTGGATTTCTTTTCCTATCCCACCCTCAATTCAGTTACCAAGAAAAGATCTTTCAGATCAAAACACTTTATCTCCCCACCCGCAGAAAAGATGTCAGACAAAAATGTTTAGAGATAATTTTGGATGTAGTGCACTGGAGTACTGCATCTAAAGACCAAACATGACAGACAGAGGGTTTAGGATTATCTGTAAATCAAAAATGGAATACTAAATTTTGGTACTTCAACAGCTTGCTTCATGCTACTTAGCCCCTCTTATGACCCCGAAGTGAGCCTGTACACTATTTTTGTTTCCATTCTTCAGACTAGGAAATTAACTCTTATTCCTTAAATTATAACCTGAAGTGACTCACTACTCATGGGCACTGCATCGAAAATTCTCACAATGGTGGACAAGAATACAGAGGTAAATTTGCAGAGTTGGATTTTGCAAGTGAGGGATTAAGAGCTGGAAAAGGGTTTGTATTTAGATGTCACCATATTATAAACATCTGTAAGGTACAGGACCATGTGGGTAACTTCTGGATAACCAGTAAAAGAGCAGCAATTAGATCCCCTTATATTACCCTGCACTAACAGAGTTCTTGGTTGGAAACAACGAGAGCCTTCTCTGGTTAAATTAAAGAGAAAGGAATTTCTTGGAAGGTAATTGGACAGCTTGGGGAATCCAGGAGGGTTGGACAACAGGTTCAGGCAGTAATCAGGGAGGCAGGGCATGGCTGGGGCACTGTCATGGGAGGATCCTGCTGAAGACACTTCCATCTGCGAGGTGGGGGCTCTCCACTGCTGTTAGAGCTGTCAGTGGACACTCATCTGGATGTGGTCACTCAGCTGGATTGTTTCTCCCTTAGATACTTGATTCCCTGCTCTGGATCCTCTCATCCACCACAACCACTGCAAAAAATTTCTGATTGATCCCATGCTCTTTTTGTAGAGATCTATAGGAGCAAGGGGTGGGAGAACCTGATTGGATATGCCAAGTCACGTCTCCATACTCTAGCCTCCTGGGAGAAGAGAGAGAGACTATCTGTCTTTCTCTAACTTCTTCAACAAGAAACGAACTCTGTCTCCTGCCAATTCTGTTATTCACCCAAATAGGAGTGGAGTTTAGATGGTGGGAAGTCCTAAATGAGCAATGTTTCCTCTATATACCCTAGTTTTTTTTAATAGAAATGTGCCTAAGAGAAGCTGAGACAGCCTTGTTTATATGAAACAACTGTTCAAACAAGGCATGTGGTTATACTAATGCCAGTGAGTCTAATTATGACACATTTATTTCTCCAAATCCACGGCCCTCCTGAACCTATTATGTACACAAAGTGAATCTATCCAGGCTCTGGGTTGGTCTGAGTCAAGCAAGAATGCTTGCACGCAAGCTGACTTCTTTCTTACTGTGTGGCTTTGCAATTCAGAAGATGTAAAGAGGTTTCGCCTGGCTTTCAGCCTCCCTATCTATTTTGATCATGGAGGTTAATAATGCTGAAAAGCACTCAGAGTGTATAAGGCCGCTGAGGAAATGAGAGCTCTATGTTTTATGGCTGGAACATGACTGGTAATGTATCTGCCGGGAAAGTTGCCATTCAGAATGCAGCAATGAATATTGGATTCCATCAATTCTCAGCCACTTCTCTCTTCCTCCACTCTACTCTGCCCTCTTGCTTCCCACTTCAGAGGGGACCATTC